TGATGGTGCTCTTTTTCAAGGAGACATGTTGCTCACAAGGTTGGTCCCACTAGTATCTCCCATCAAATGAGACTTTGCTGTCTCAGTTCTTCTGCTATTCCAGAGAACAAGCTGAGGATATTGTAGAAGACGTTATGTTAAATGAAGTGAAGCGTAAAAAACGGCAGGCATATCGTGACAGCAGATATCCCCAAACTCTATGGTCTAATGGGGTGTCCTTTTCCTTCCATTCCAACGCAAGTCCGTTTTCTATTTGCTAAACTTTCATTTTTGAAGGGAATATGTAGAGTAATGGTAAAAGGTGCTTTGCTCTGCAATACACCAAGTATCGGTTGCACGTTCGATATTCAATCAGTCTTTGGTGTGGTGATAATACTGATTTAATATGCCGCCACACGTGACTTATTGTGCACATTTGGTCTCATGAATAAGGACAACAAGCGATGTATGACTGATTGCGTCATTTATTTCAGCTCAAGGTGCAAGGAGGGTGTTCAGAAAAGCTGTAAAGATCTGGGAGGACAATACATGCATTAATTTCAGGGAAGATGACCATGGTATGACGAAATTAAAGACTGAAAACTTTACAGAAGTGAAGCTATAAAAACATATTAGAGTGACTTCTTTAAGCTACTGACAAGATTGTCGTTTTCAACGGTCCTGGATGTTTTTCACATGTTGGAAGAGTTGGGGGACCTCAGGGCCTTTCACTGGGGCCAAAGTGTGACATGGTACGAACGAAATTTGACATATTTAATACTTTTGTCAAATTATGTAAAGGGAAGAGACTAGTGCTGATACCAAACTATATCACATTTTTATTTTTTGTAGGTTGGAATTGCTGTACACGAAGCCGGTCATGCCTTGGGCTTCTTCCACACGCAATCGAGACATGATCGTGACGATTTCATTACACTAATACCGCAGAACTTCAGGGTGAATTTCACGTACATTGTCACTAAAGATGTGGTAAAGAACCAAGGGTTTTTTCAGAGCGGATGGCTATCTCAATTCGTAAAACAGTCTGTACACACCAACCATAACTATAATCTCACCTATGACTACGGGAGTATCATGCACTACGGACCACTAAGGTTACTCAAGCTCTCAGCGACTTTATAAAATGACATGTGATGAACATTTCGTTTGCAGCGTCTCAGGCAATGGCCAACCCGTTATGGTACCGCGTGATATGGATTATATGCAGACTCTTGGATCGCGCACGCAGCTATCGTTCTATGAGAAACTCATGATGAACCTCCACTATAAATGCCTTGGTGAGAGTGCAAAATATCTACTTCGACGATGCATCAAGTCTTTCTGAGTTATTTCAGACAAATGCGCTAGTGGCGCTTCAGCAAAGTGCAAGAATGGAGGCTTTCCCCATCCGAGGGACTGCTCTAAATGTATCTGCCCTAGCGGATATGGAGGAAATCTTTGCGATGAAAGAGTGAGAAAGCTAGACATTAGATTGCAGATTAGTGCATGCCATATAAATCTAATAAAGTACTTTACAGCCAAGAGGTTGCGGTAAGATACTAACAGCAACCACATCCTATCAAACACTTGAAGATAGAGTAGGTGAAGAAGGGGCACGTTATCCAAGTGACGAGTTGATGATGTGCAACTACTGGATTCAGGTACATAAATCTATAAAATCTCTGGCAACATTGATTTCTAAACGGACATTCTTTGAGGGCCCACCTGGTTCAAAAATTGAGGTGATACTAGATAGATACCAAACAGGAGTCAGTAGCGAAGGCTGTAATTTTGCGGGAGTTGAAATTAAAACAGGAAGTGATAAACGTCGCACTGGTTACAGGTGGGAGAGTAAAGATAACACTAGAGCTATGTTACTTAAGGTACCTATATTACATACTGTTTAGATTCTGTTCCCCGCTAAACACGGGAACAACCTTGGTCTCTACGCACAATATCGTTCCCATTATTACTTTCAGTAGAGTCTTTCCAGTCGAATCCGCTTTACGTTATCGAATCGGTATGTTGAAGCAAACGCCACTAATAAGTGAAGTAATTCTGCAACCACTTTTCACCATACGATCTGTTGCAGTCTCTAATGACGGTCTTTTTGATAACGAAACTGATGAGACATCTATTCAATCAGCTGAAAAGTCAACTCCTCAACCAGCAGCTTCGTCTAGGCCCGGCTGCTGATAGTTTGAGTTGACGTCCACGGTCGTTTGTCTTCACTGTGGTCCTATACATCGTTCCGTCCAAATAGAATTCTTTAAAGCATCAAAAGAAAAAGACGGAAGAAAGGTGATGACTAAAGTGAGGATAAACGATTGCATACATTCATGGAATTATCGTCTCTAAAACAGGAGAAGACGTGAAATGTTAGCTGAATAATGTTCATATAGCAATCTCGTGGTATGCGCCACTCATAAAGGAGATGAGTATTGACTGTTCATGCTAAGGTTAAAAGAAAGTTTGTTCTTAAAATGTTCAAACCAATGTTTAGGTGCATTTCCTAATTGAAATGGAACTTCTGCAGTGATCCGAAATACAGCGACGTTTTGAGAAGACAGGTCCGTCCAAAATCTTGTGGCTTTTGTTGATGCACGTTAATCTCTCAATAAAAACATTTATCACTCTGGCTTGAGCACATATACATACCTGATATTTAGACACACCTAAATATGTATTTCCAAAGAATAAACCACCATCGCGCCTTGTTGACACTATGATGATGCACAATCAATAGTTCACGCGTACCTCAAAGTAACATATATGAAAACTCATCTTAAACTAGTCGGTGTTTTCTTGTTCACACAAGTGGAGTGTTGACTTCAAAAATCACTTAGTATTTGGTTGCGGTTTCGGTGGATTTAGCCTTGCTCAAAATGGTAAGGTCAAATTGACGCGTAATATACTCAGCATAAGAGTTTCATGGTCCAAGACGAAAACAATTGTTGAAAAAAGAGTTCACAAAGCCTTGTTGTTTGTGCCTGTTCAAGAATAAAATGCTAATTTATTGAACACTGTAAGGTTAAAAGGAAGTCGGTTCTGAAAATCACTGCATTTGAAATACTCCAGAATCATCGACGCAGTAAGGTTCATTGCTATCTCATGACAGGGAAGAGAATTCGTTAAGGGAAATATTGGGTAAGACCTTTGTAACGCAGAGGTCAACATGTTAACAATCGAAAAGTATACTCGGTAAATCCAAGCCCCACGTAGGGTTCTAGTTTTGTTAGTATCTCATTACTTTTGTAGTCATTTCATGCCGTGCTTGCATTGGCAAAGGAGTAGTTACTAAGTGTATGAAACATGAAAAGCTTCTATAAATTTTTTGAGATACTTCAGCAGTAAAAATATATTGCATAATTGAATAATTTCATTAGTTGGAGGGATAACTAGGTTTACTAGATCAGCAGACGTGAATATGAACAAAAAGTATACAACAAATTCTCAACACTGTCTTTCTTGGTCTCTACACATTTACGAAGTCGCTTGCGAAAGCTTCCAACGACTCTCACACAGGCTTGGCCGCAATTTGTTCCAAGGGCGTTTCAGAGTCCTTTTGAGCTCGTCTACGGTAGTGTAGCGAGTGGCAGAAACTTTCTTCCTCTATTATGGACTGCGGGATAATTCACGAGATTGAGATCCGACTACTTTGACTTCTATATGTCTTTGTCTCAAACGGGACTGACAACAGCTCTCGACAAATGGCAATTGTTGAGCAGGTTGAATGCACAGGACTCCAGTTTTGCTAAAATTGAATATGTCAGCGTCGAAGTGTTGAGTGCTCCAAGCTCCATTGTGCTCGTAAAACTTGCTGCTGATTGGCAGCGTTGAATTGGCATTTCTCTTAATGAAGACCAACGCAGTCTTTTCGGTAACTTCAATGCTGGCTCTGACCATCACAGAAGCGAAAAAATGACTGCGGCTCATGGTTTTCCATACGGCAGACTTCTTCTGACCCTTCTTAAGAAGTGGGGTTCGCTTCCGGCTTTGTAGAGCGATTTAACCGTGAATATCTTCTCACCCGTGAAAAGCATCTTTGAAAGACGAGCACTAGAGATCAAATGTGTCATTCGATGGGCCTTTGACAGCCGTTTGTTCTTTCATTTTTTTTGTCCAGAAAGTGAACACGCTGATCATATAACTGCGCAGCTTTGGCTTATTTCTGGCACTATCACGGAGACTCTACTAGCTGGTCCGGAGCTTCTCGAGTCATTAAGCACACCAAAACGCTTCGAATTTCGATGAACTTTCCTACTGAATCTTCTCAATAATTTCCGGAGCAGAGGAGATGGTTCGACGACCTTTTCAAAGATCCTAAATTCTTCCATTTTCCTTGAAATAGTCACGGCTCCGTAGATACTTGCTCGTTTGAAATCAGACAATGCTAACAACGTCAGTCGTTTTCATTCCCGTCTTGTGCAACTCAACTACTGCGGTACGTTCACTTTACGATCCATAATTTGAGCGCAGCTGAAAAACGACACGCAAATTAAAGATTACAGATTGAAATCGAACAAAGACTTCAGTAGAATTATCAATATTATTAAAGAACATTACATCAACGCTGAAATCAATGAAACACAAAGTGGGATTCGAACCAACATCGCACCTTATCCGTGGGCGCGTGCAGAACAGTTCTACTACCGAAGCCCGCCTTCACAGCACTCTTTTCACGCTACAATGCGTTATCTGCTAACAGCCAACCGTCCAACGGTCTGGCGTGGGTAGTCACAGTTGACAATGAATGCACTCATGCTGACAGATATTGGGTATTAGTAATCAATCAGAAGCCGTTTCATTGACTTCTTCTTGCGGTGGTATGATGTCACATTATACCCAATGATGTATAATAATAAATAACAAATAAAATGCATTCTGATTGATCATAAATACCCAATATCTGTCAGCATAAGTGGGTTCAGTGTCGATTGCGACTACCCACGCAAGATCGTTGACGGTTGGCTATTGAGATAAAACGCGTTGTAGCGTAGAAAGCGTGGCGTCGAAACGAGGCGTCGATAGTGTAACGGTTCAGCATGCGTCACTGGATAAGGTGAAATGTGGGTTCAAATCCCATTTGATGCAAATGCTTTTGCACACCACTCTACATTATTAGGTCTATTGTAACATCAAGCCACCTTAAGAGGCGGTCAAATAAAATGAATTCTGATTCGTTATTGAAACACAAAATTATCAGAACTTCTTACGCACTCTATGTTCGGTAAACGTTGTTTTAGCATGGTTCATCGATCTTTTCTGCCATTTCGATAAATTTTCAACCTTTCGAATATAAGGCGTTTTCTCTTGTTTCTTAGACACTAAGTAAACAACTAATCGGTAGTTTAAATCTCGTCGATTACACTACAGCTTTTTTCTTGGAAATAACCTGATAGAGCGCTTCGCTGCATGAATTAAATAGAGTTTCAAATTCGACGCCAGCCTTTTCCAGTGCGCATGGTCAGCGCGTTTCCTGCAGAGTTAAGTAACTTGAAAGCATTAGGAGGTTTTGGGAGGGCTCACTCCACTCATCTCTGTTTCTTCATGACAATTCGAATAAAGTTCATTAACAAGGGAACATGGGTGTGAATGTTATGACACCTCTAGTATTTATTTCACCCTATTTTTAACATTACTACGATGAAAGAGCAAGCGGCTGAGTGGTTTTGATGCTGCACGGGGCCCGTAGAGTTGAACTCCACTTCCTAACTCTTTACGGCACTGAACAGCAATGCCCCATGGAACGCCATAGCAAGGCTCTCTTTGAGATTACAAGGAGATTCACTCAACAAGTATTCTACGTCATTGAAAAAGAAGACGAAAAACGAAGTGAATGCTAGGGAGTACTGAGATCCGCACATTGAAAAAAACGACGTTATGATGACGGATCAGATTAAATGAAATAGAATAAAAAATGATGAAACAACTAAGTATTCAATATTGATATGTGATAGTGGATTGACTCTTGCCTGAGATACAGAGTTATGCATATAATTTAGGATTCTTAGATAAATTGTCCGTAATATAATAACTTTGTTTGATAGAAAGGGTAAAACAGAGATACGTTACAGCTACCATATTAGCTGAGTTAGCACCGACAAGTGCTCACCAGAGTCGAATTATTGAGCTTAATTGCTAACATTTTCGATATTTTCTATAGCGAAAAAATGAAGAACAAAGCAACAGCTTCGGTGGTGTAGTGGTACCATGCGTTCCCGATAATGAGTAAAAGGCGTGTTCTTCCACTGGCCAACGCTTTGAGTTTTGCATGTCTCCTAACGACCTTTTATAAGATTATATATGATGTTAAAAAAACCAGATACTGCTTCTTTATCTGCTATAAGAAGGTTTCGCGAGAGTGCAATGTCATACATGCTTGCTAGCGTGTCGACCATATAATCTGCAAAATTGTCCGAAATAAGTATATCCTCGATTCTTCTGCCATATCACTAGATTACTTCGACAGTCATTATATACCTTCTTTCTACTGTTTCTTCAGACCACGCTGAAATTCAGTATGCCTGATAATTATTTCTTGAGCCATGCATGTGGTCTGCTACAAGCACTTATGCAGTGCACTACACGTGTTTCCCTCTTTCAGCCTCGTCAAGTGCACACTGCCTTTCGTATGATTTAGTTCTCCTGGGCAACAAATCTCTTACATAGAGGAGTCGGGGACAAATATTTTACACGTTGATAAATGATAATATCACCGAACTCTGCTCTTGGCTGGCATCGACAAATATATTGAGTGTACAATACTGTCCGTTCGGTGATATTGCAATTCATCGGCACGTGTAAAACGTTCGTTGATGACTACTTTGTGTGAAAGAGTTGCTTCCAAAGATGACTGGCTCATACGACTTGTCACATGTTATATATCCTGTTCTCTAACTACTATATTTTGGCGGACGAAGCCGTTTCGGCTGGTGGGCGGTCCAGACGGCTAAGAAGAGTGGGAGTGGCTGCAGGCTCGCCCTCTAATGTTAGAGTGATGGTATTTCAATGGAATTTATACCTTTTTTCGTTGATAGACGAGATTTCTATGTCAGTAAATGGCCAAATATAGTAGAAAAGACTTCAATAAAATTATTTTTATCAGAAGCAACGTGACTGCTCTATTTAAAATATACATTTTCAAGGGAAAGGCTCGGAAACGGCACTCCATGCTGAGCAACTGATTTCTTCAAGTGAACAGGCACTTCTCCATTATAAGGCGACATATGAGTATTGATCCCATTCGCTGGACAAGAACTTTCCATAAGAGTTTTAGTAATCATTCGAAAGCTTAAATCTCTGGTTAGCGTGCTTGGTGCGGTAAGTGTCCGGTTTTTGGGAAAGAAAGTATTTTTTAGTCTTGTCCATAGAAGGAAAATCTCTGTGTTTCACACACATATATCTCGCAAACAGAGCTCTTTCTTGAGACTATGAGTAACCATTCAATAGCGTAGGATTAAAATATTCCAATGTATTCCAACGCTGTGCTTGTTTCTCAGAATAAGCGTATCTCTGAAGTGCAAGCAGGGAAATATAAGATGGAGTTCCACACATTTGGCTTGCTTGTTTACAAGCTAATTCATGGTCGAAGTCTGGTGGCCGCAGATGCGATGACGCTTGGCACTTCTGAGAAATGCGATTTTTGTCACTTGATGAGAAACTTTTCCCCTTCTTCGGATGGAGTTCCAGAAACGTATGTGCTGATATACTATAAGACTTTCTCTATACGCTCATATGTTTTTCGTGGAAAACAACAGCGCTGTTAAGAGGTCTTTTGAAAAACCGGTCACATACTGCGCTATCAGAGTTTCAGCTTTCGAATGTTACTGACACTCCTATGCCAAAATCCTTGTCCAGCAAATGTGGTCAAATATTTATATTTCGCCTTCCAATGGAAAGAACCATAATTGATAACAATGAAATTAACATAAGTTGAAGCTAGATAAATTTTTTGGACGACCCAATAATAAATTTTACATGATAGTGGCATTTAGCGTCACAAAGGGTGGAATATCTCTAAAACGACTTCCCAAGAGTATATTTGGTGAGGATCACATGCATGCGTTCTAAGCATTCGCGTTTTTGAACAGGAAAGCGACATGATTCAGAAATAAAAATATTGACTACTTTTACTGCGTAATCTGACGCTCCTCATGTGAGAAGGAAGCGCCTTTTCCCATTCATCATTCTTCTTATTGCCATGGATATCTGCTGCTCTACATTCAACTTAAACACCGTGAGTGTACAATCTGTAGATATGGATTAGTTTTCTTTTTGCATGTAAGCATTATATTACCTTGAAAACTATATGGTCGTGAAAGAGTAGCGTATGGTGCTGAGTGACGATACCACTTTGAGCACTCGCTAATTGATCGTTATGGTATTGATCCACTATCGGACATTTTTATGCTTTTCAAAAATTTTTTTGCTTATTTATTGCTATTTTCAGGCTGTTAGCATTCATATGATAGATTGGAAAGCCCATCATACAATGTCTTAGTATTTTCACTAACCCTTTGCGGACGGCGCCATTTTCGGCTGGCGGCGCCTCGGACGGCATATGGAGAGAGGCTGCCGGCACTGCTCTAAGCTAATGTGGTAGTTTTCTAATAAATTTGTACTTTTTTCGCCAACTGATGAGGTTTACGTGGCAATAAATGGCCAAGTATGAGGGGACGGACTCTTAATAAGCTTATTTTTAACAGAAAATAACACGATTGTTCCTTTTTAAGCAACACCTTTAGAGGAAAGCCAGTATTTACGAGAAAGCCATATTTAGACCTTTATCGAGCATTTCTACAATATTTTGTTCTCGATTATCCACAGTAAGTCAAATTTGTCTTTTTTATATCAGTTTTTCATATAATTTATTGCATAAAGTGCATATATTCATCATACTACCTGAAAATTGAAAAGCAATAAATAGTTCCATAGAAATAATGTTTCTTATTGCATGCGATCCCACTTCATCGAAATTTCCCGATTTTTTTTTATTAACAGTGCACTTTAATTCCCATTTCTCAGATCAATGCGTAATTTCGTTCCAATTTCTTATTCATAGTTGTGGTAGGGGTAAAACGATGGAGGGTGTAGCGATTCCTTCCATTACCTCTACCCTCTTTGAGCCTGTTGGTAAAAATGTTCTTTTATTTCTACAAAATGTTCCGATAGTCATTCGACTGCCAAAATCAAGTGAATTTGGAACGGCGTTAGTTATTCTTGCTGTGACCTGATTTCTTCGTTGCAGCAGATGAAAAAAAATTTGCTTCACATTCAAGTATTTCTCATCGGATAAAGTTTTTTTCATAAGCACTTAATGATCATTACATAGGCGAATCTCAGCTATTTGAATCATGTGCTTGTTTTTTGGAAAGGACTTTCGGAACGCTATAACAGTCAGAGGAAGACGAGATTTCTCAAATTCGAATCTTTTTTTAAAGGAAGCATTCTGTATTGACCTCTTGAGAAGTACGCGTTTTCCAATTTTTTTCAGAGATGTGATAGCCATTCGATACCTCAAGTCACGAAAATTTCGATGGTATGCTTCATTTTTCAATTACTTCCTTAATACGCTCTAACACTGAAACGAACAAAAATCTTTCACACTTAAGTATTTCTTGCCCAAGTTTTTTCGCCAGACATTTAACAAATTTTCAACAGCTTAAATCTCGACCATTTCCATGGAAGCTTTGTTTTTGAAGAAGTCTCCTTCTTGTACTGTAGCAATCAAAATAAGATTACGTTTCGTAGTCAGCTGAGAAGTTACTAAAGGCACGATGATAAAACTTTACATGGCGAGAAATCCTCAACTATGAAACAAATTTTATTTAGACAGTTGCGACGCAAAAAACAAGCCATTTTAAACAAAACATACCGCTCAAGTTTATTCAATTCCAGTATCGATTGAATACTAGTATTTTGTGTAATAGATCTTTTTTTTAGAGTAAACCATTTGCTCACGTGTGCAGTCCTTGTGATGTGATTGCATGTGAAAGAAATGGTTTTAAAAAGTAACGATTAGGTGGATGGTATGGCGTTATTCTCTGCGGAAATACGTTTATAAAAGTTTTTTTGATGGTGATTTACGTTTT